AAAAAGAATTGATGAACGAACGAGGTTTTGGACAACAAATCCTTCGATCCATTTGACATTCATGTGTGCTTGGACAATGGCTATTACGGATACATCGTTGATTGACTTGTCCGATTTTTAATGGTGTACCATATTTACACTGAAGTCTTTCACAAAATAGTTCACAATCGGATAATGATTTGAAATTGTTGAAATTACCCAATGCCCCATTGTACGTAAATGATATACAGCGGCTTTGATCCGGATCATAGTAATAACGGCGGGATTTTTCAAAGTTTAAATTAAACATTCTGAAAATTTACTTCTTTCAGATGCTTTTGCATTTATTTGATTTGAATTATTGTTATTTAGTATTTCAACACTTTTTAATTAAACACTAAATTAAATTTAAATTTTTAAAGGAAAGAATTTAGAATTTCACATAAATCCATAATCCAGCCAAGCAATACATGAAATGTAAAATGAAAATTTTGGAAAAATTTAAATTTCATTAAAAGTTTGTTAGATAAAAGTTTAATTTCGTATATTTTTTAAATCATTTTCTTGTTAAAAAAAAAGCTGCAATGACATTCTAACCTCTTCATACTGTAACCAGGATCGAAATTAGTATGACGGGAAATATCAAATGGACGTCCACCAGCAATACTACATATACTTGCAACACTTGGACAACAAAGTTGTCGCCAACCGGTTGTTTTACATTCGAAATTGGATGAGCATGAGGACATCGTTTGACAGTTAGTGATCGGTTCTTCTTCGTTTAAAATGCCTCCCACTGAATACTGTGGTGAACCACGTTTGCATGCTTAAAAATGGATGTTGAATATTTTGACAAATAAATTGATAGAATTACTAATTAAAATTTCAATTGGAGACTTTTTTTTTGCAAATAATGAATTTAAAATTTAAACTCTTCGAAAAGTTTATTTCTGTTCTTTTATGTGATATAGCATATGTTAGACTTTAAATATTATACTTAATAATGGTTTACTTAAAGAATATAACTTATAAGTTTGAGTAAGTTTTAATAAAGTATTATTACTATTAGTAAGGTTACCTTCCTTGAATACAAATAAAATTGTTATTGAAAAAAAAAATTAGAAATTTCATGGAACAATTTACTATCTCTGCAGTATGATTCGCAATGTTCTCGAGTTTTGAAGTTATTTGGTGATTGTACTTCTGTTTCATCCCATGGATCCCACATAAATAATTCACATATACCAGTTACAGAATTAAACCACCAACGTGGTCGTACGCCAGCTTCATTTGATTTTGCTTCATGTTTTGGTTGTATGCATGTAAATGCTACAAAAAAAGGAATATATTTCAAATATGTCCTCAAATAATAAATTACTTTTTTAAACTTTTAAAATTAAAATATAAAATAATTTGAAATTTTTTACAAAAATTATATTTTAATTTCAAATTTTCCCTTTCACATCTTTACTTATTTATTAATTATTTTTTAACTTACCACGATTTGGACAACAAATTCCATCTGCTTCTGGATGAATATTGTAAATACCTTTCATTGCTAATTTCATATTATTCAATGGTACCACTATGCAGTCATAGATATCAGCAATATAAACTCCATTATCCGATTGATACGGTTCCGTAGCATAGGTACATGCAGCACCACCATTTGCTACAAATGTATTGTAATCGGTGGATGTTGATGAGCAGAATTGTAATGGATTAATTTGTTCTCCTGAGAAAATCTGTAAAAAGAGATGAGATAATTGTTAATTTTGCTTAACCTTTAACCTTAGAGCATCCATTTAATAAAATTGATATGAATGAAAATATTTTAGACAATTTTTTCTTTTACTTTTTCACAAAATTTTCCTAATATTTTAGCCTAAAATTAAATAAAATAAGTATGTGCATTTCATATCATACATCATAATCATTTGGATCGGTCATTGCTGGATTTCGAAGTTGTGATATTGGCATTGTTAATAAATCATCATCATATTCCGGTAATGGACATTTTGGTACCGGATCATTATCTTCTCCAGATAATAAAATGCAAACAACACCATCACGTGTACGTACTTGCACATAGGGAATTCCATTAATATCAGATGGACATTCACATTTATTTTCTATACAACGTGCACCAGGCCATGCAGCATTACATTGCTCCGAATATTGACAACCATTATCACCAATATTTTTCTCTGCATATTAAATGATTTCTAATTTCTTTATTCTTTTTTTGCATTCAAAAATATTAAAGTTAAACTTTTTTTTTAAGAAGAAATTACAAACAAATTTCGTGTTATTGCATTCATTAGAATAATTGTTCAATTGTTCTGTCATCAAATTTTAATTTTGTCGCATTTATGACTACGATTACGATAACGTGGAATGTAGCATAAATATCCTACATAATGAAAATCAAATGTCCAAAATGTTTGGTGCGAAATTTTTTGCGACAGCAACAGATGTACTAATTAGAAAATTGTGAATCAATCAATTTCCGAAATGAACTGAGATTCGAGATAATCAATTTAATGAATTTTTCTTTTTATACATTGAGAATTTTGGTGAAATCTTATGAATCATTCCAGTTATGGTAGCTACATTTTGAACTTCAGATTCAGTCAGTCCATACTGAAACTGATTAAATCTGAAGTTTGAATTATATCTGTCTTGACTTTAGATTTAGTCAAAGAAAGCATTTATAATAGATGTAACAGTACCCGTCGAAAATCTTAGATTACTTATCTTCACCACAATGATATCAAGCTTAATTTCTTTTATATTTTAATTAATTATGTATCCATATCCTTCGTATTCTAATTAATTAATAATGTACTTTCCTTGGCTGCGAAAGTTGTATGAATTTGGTATTACAAAATTAACTGTTCCATTAAATATGCCAATTATTAAATAATAAAATTGAAGGCTGAAATTTTTGACAAAAGATGATGAACTTACTAAGATAACAGTATCCATGGATAGCAACAAACATATTCCGGCATGTACAAGTACCATCTGAGCAGAACATTCCCTGTAAATTGTTTTTCAAAATAATTTAAGCAATTTGGTCTATTTTATTTTTAAAATTTTAATTAGTAATTTCTACTACTAATATCAATTTTTTTTTTTTTTTGTTGAAATTAAATAGCTTTGTATGAGTTGATAAAATCAATGCTTTTCCATGAAGCTTAATTGATAGCATAAATGATAAGAATAGTTTAATAAGTCTATTTTATTCAAAGTATACATTTCGGAATTTCAAGCAGTAATAAAATATCGATTATTCTTAGGATAAAATTTCATTCAGAATATTTGACAAAGTCAGAAAAATCTTTTTAGTACTTGAAAAGCTCTCCCAAACAATTTCATTGCATTATTTCAAGCATTAAAAAATTCAATAAAAAAAAATCTTTGGAATTGATTTATGACCAAATACCAATAATAATTAATGAATTCGAAATATTTATGCCAGTTTTTTTTTTCTGACGATTTGTTTATTTTTAAATTTCAAAGAATGAATATATGAGAATTTATTTCTTCCTTTTCAACACTTCAACATTTTTGATAAATAATTTCTTGTCCCTCTCATTAGGTTAAATTAAAATTTATTATTAATGATTTCTGATATTAAAATAAGGTCGGATAAATATCTTCATATTCCCAATTAAAATGAAATTATGAGGAGGAGGTGAACGATGGACTGAGAGAAATACCATGTAATGCTTATACGACTCATTTTAGTACCTATCAATTATCAAAGAATGTTCAATTAATTCAAAGAGTCTTAAAAAGGTTAAGAGGTATTCTTAAAAACAATTTAAAGTTGATGTTAGGGATCTTATTCAAGCAGTTAATGTCTAGCCAATGTTTATATCCATACTTGATGCACTGAGAGTTTGGGTGATATATTCCTGAACTCTCAGTATATTGTTGCATAGAAATGTACACAATCATTGATTGGGTACCGATGATTTTATAAATTTCGAATTAAACATGCTGTTGAAATGGAATACGAGTTTATCACTCGTAAAATCTGTTCATTTTTAAATTACGGTTCCCTTTAACACTTTTAAATATATGTGATATTTTTTCTTTAAGCGCAAAAAATTAAAAACAAACATTCAAGCAGTCATCATTGACAGAGCAATAATCGCCAACATGACCAGATCCAGCAACGAACCGCCGTTTATGACGTTGATGAACATCCGAACAGGTTCCATTTATAAAATATTTGCCAGGTGCACAATGCTTTGTAATTAATTTATTCTTCTTTGTATCGCAAAATAAGTATGAATTCTCATGGATATCAATACGACTAAAATATTGAAAAAACTTCAGAATCGAATAATAATTTTAAATTTCAGAAATATGTAATCGATAATATCGATAGTTTTTTAAAAAAAAAAAATGCACTTCCAGTTGGAAACCAATTTTTACAGGTGATTTTGCATTCCTTTAAGTGTTTGAAAATTATGCATAACAAATATCAGAGACATTGATTTCATTAAGTAAATGATATTTTTCTTATTTGTTTAAACATTAATTTGCTACATTAAGGTTAAATAATAGCGGCATTAAAATTCAACTATTTATAATAATTAAATTTCGGAAAAAAAATTAAAAATTAAAAACATTAAGGTTAAATAATAGCGGCATTAAAATTCAACTATTTATAATAATTAAATTTCGGAATTTACATTTGTTAATTTTTAATTGTCATGAAAAAGCAATAGTTTGGAAAAAATTTTTGGTTGAATTAATGTAATTATCTTAAGTAATTAAATTATAATTTCCCAGCATATTTCATCTCTTAGCCCAAAATGTCTAGTGAATGGAACGGATAAATGTGATGATTCGATGATGTCACCCTAACATTTTGACATATCCATAACCATTGATAATATCATTTCATTTACGTAAACATTACTTGGATTAAGGAAAAATAAATAAATTCATTGAATAATTTGGATAAATCTTTAAATGAGTTAATGTATCAAAAATAATTTAATATTGTGAAAAAAAAAAGCTTCAAATGAGGAAAAGTAATCCTCAGAATAGTCTTTTTGTCTTGATAAAATATATTTACTATTTTAAAGGTTCATATAAGCTTAATTTTGAAAAGATGATAGTTTATTTAGGCTTTCATTGAATTAGTAATTTAGGATGAAATATATGTATTTGGTAAAAATAAACTTACTTATTAGCCGTATCACAGAATAAATGTTCATATCGTTTATCTTTGAGACATTTCTGTCCAGCACTTAGTAATCTACACTGATCACACTGATTACTGATTCTGCAGGTCGTAATAGCCCGTGCTAAGTCTTCAATTAAAGCCTAAGCTAACAGTGGATAAAAGAAAAATTGAAGAGAACTGAAAATGTTGTTATAATATTTCCAAGTTGTATAAAAGTAATATTCAGTCCGATAGGTTAATTAGTTTGTCAGACTAAGCTATTGTTTAATCTTTCTTTCTAACAGATAGTTCTCACTGATTGTTTTATAAAATTCATTTTTAATTAATGAATCATTAAATTATGATATCAAATTACCTGAGCAAATTAGTAGAACTGCTGTTCCAATGAGCATTATAGTAGCAATAGCAGTAGTCCAACAAAACATCTTATTCATAGAGTTATTTGTGGATATTTAAGTTTAAGTTGCGCAGAAATAGATTTTTTTCCTACGATATGCTATTTGAGAAGGAAGACAAGTTAAGTATTATAAACTGATGATTGCTACGATTAGAAACTAGGGAAATTGTCACCGATCACCAAGTTTGTATACCATCCACTAAATGACCACATATATATGCACCAAAGAAAAAGACAAACAGATGAATATATCAAGAGTGGACTTTAAGATCTTTTGAGTTATTGGATATTAAACCGATATTTGACACTGAAAAGATTTAACCATCTATTTTCCAATTTCCTTCTCTGTTGAACTGTCTATCTTCTCTTCATTTACTTCCTCCTCTTCACAAGGAAACCACTTGAACATCACTCTAAACTACTACCATCTCTAAAACCAGAGGTAAACAAAACTTATTCCAGTCTACCTTGTTGCTAATATTGTCACTTCCTTTTTAAACCGGCAACTCATCGTTAATTGCTTATTGTCTTTTTAAGATCGGAAATTTGCTTAGAAATCCGAGAAAAACTTCGAATTAAGATAAAATTACGATAAAACAGATGAGCAGGTGTAATAATTAAATGATTGTATTTTTGAAATTTTAGGGAAATTCCTTGTTAATGGTTATTCAGAAAAAACGAAGCCAGTTATTCGGTATTCGCAAAAGTTATAGGGCGTGAAAAAGTTTTGAATGCAATAAAAAAATTAGTTTGCAAAACTGTTGGAAAATTTTAATCCTTTCTGTGATCTACTGAAAGTGATTCAAACTTGATCCTGCTAAAGTGAATCCATTTGATGGACCTTTTTGCTTGGCCAATGACTGATACTGAGAAAAATGGAAAGTACCAGATGGTTTTAATGCTTGCTATTATCACCAAATTCAACGATGCGGAAATAAGGTCAGATCTATGTTTAGAGAAACATTTGATTAGCAAATATTTACTTACCTCTTCAATGAAGTGTTTATAGCTTTACCAAACAGATCAATATACACAAACATCACACTAAATATTGTATGTCAAAATTGGAATTAACTCTTTTCGGGTTTATGGCAAAGTATATTTTAAAGTGTATTTTGAAAATGACATTTTTAATTTCCATTTTTAAAAACAATTATTGGATGACATATTCCGCTTTGGCAATGGAAATATTTACGGTATGAATGCTTTTTTGGCCTTATCATTTTTCCTATAGTTTCAATAATAACGGAAAATGCAGTTTTAATCATACTCCTTAAAGCATCTACATTAATTAAATAAATGTCACTATTTCCTTATGAGGTTGCGAGTTATGCTGGGAAATACTACACGGCAAGGCCTCCATACCAAACAGATCTCAACTGAAGAACCAGACAAAGTGTATTTACGGCAGGATGGGCTCGCTAGTCTTCGGATAACCATCCTAAGAGAAGGACAACTCTGATCCTAAATTCGGGTAGATGAAGCTCATTTAGCCCTGTAAGGCCATTCATCTTAGGGAAGGACGTCCTAAAGACTTCGCTGTCATCGTCTAAGCTCGCTAGGCCCTGGTAGATGAACCTTAAAAGTAAAGAGTGGGACCAATTCCGCGCACACTATGTCTTACCTAAAGAATCTATCACGCAAGCTCGAAAGATGCATCACTTTTTAAAATCCTGTAGCGACAGGCAAGGGACGAAATAGCAGATGATAGGATGGACTGAAAGCAGCAGACCCAATTCTGCATGCAGACAGTTCAGGATGATGGTAGCTCAAGAGTGTCTCTTGAGACGACAGTTCTGTTTGGCAGCATCTTGAACGACCAAGCAGCATTTTTCAAGAAAGCATTGCTTGCCCCATGCGGAGAGGAGTTTAGAAAAGATTGCCTAACCAAAGCTCACTTCCATCTCCATTCGGTTGGTTAACAACATTTCCTGATAGGGTCGAACACAGACAAAAAGACAAAGGCATACATCTTCCTCCAAAGTTGTACATAAATTGATACTAGGTGTTGGGATATCAGATGTTTGATAATATAGACAGTGGACATCCTGAACTGTTGGGATATCAGATGTTTGGTAATATAGACAGTGGACATCCTGAACGTCATTCTGCTCTAATTACTCATGAACTATCACGACTCAACATCGACATTCCTATTCTCAGTGGTTTTCCAATATTGCAATTCTTCATTTCCAAAAGGACAGTATCCTTAATAAACATGGCGCTGGTTACATACTCTACTGGTCAGGAAAACCCAAAATCGAAAGTCACATTTCAGCAAATCGTTTTATGGTTAAAAACTTTACCGCCTCCAAACTTGAGGCTCTGCCGACAGATCATTCCGGCCATATTATTTTCCCTCAGTACATATGCTCCAACTCTGCAAGCTGACCCTATGGAAAACGATAGATTCTATACCGACCTTATCAAAAAGGTCCTTGGTATTCAAAAAGGTTAAAGAATTCCGAAGCCTGGAAAGATATATTAGATAGGCATAGCATTGAAACTGCAACGACACGGACGGCTTCTGCTAGAATTTTGTGCACAGCAGCAACTCACCACCACAAATACTATTATCTTTCAGCCGAGAAAGTTCGAAGACAACCTCGATGCGTCCTCGATTCAAGCACTGGCATCTCATTGATTATGTTTTAATTCGTCAAAGAAATGTTCACGATGTTCGTCACACCTATGTGATGTCTAGTGCAGAATGTCAAAGAGATCATCGCCTTGTGCAGTGAAAAGTCAACCGCTTTATATCCAATCTCCCGATAGGCAAAATTGTAAAGAGGAAGTTCAAAGTTAACAATCTCCAAACACCTTCAGTGAGAGATAGCTTTCAGACAAGTCTTCAAACCAGCCTTTCAAGATTACCCCATAGACCCCTCTCCTGTGAAGCGCTGTAGTAATCATATTAAAACCACCATTCTGCAAGAAGAATAAGGACTGGTTTGATGAAAACAATGAAAAAACCCAGAATTTTTTACAAGGAAGGGATCTGCTCACCAAGCACACCTTGCTCAGCCATCTTGCTATATGAGAAAAGACTAGCTTTGCATGCAGCAAGCTCTAACAGAAACTTCGAGTCATTCGAAACAAATGGTGGATTAACCTAGCAGGAAATGTTCGACTGTGCGCAAATTCGGGCAGATTCGGCGCAGGTTTCGATCCGCAGATTCCGGCTACAGAGATTCTACGAGGCTCTGAAAGCTCTGTATGGACACAAACATTGATCAAAGCTCCCTACTCAGCGCAGATGCCCAAACGTTTTTCACTGACATAATCTTTATCCTGAATCGATGGTCTGGACATTTCCAGATTCCCTTCAGTGCCAATCGCAGTCCAAGACTCAGTAATTCAGCATATTACATAGCAACCGGTGAAAAGCAAACCCCGACCGTGGTAAAAAAGCTTAAGCCATACAGCAGATGAAAACTATCAAGACATCTGGGATTGATGGTATCGCACTGAGGTCGGGCAACGTGAAGATCAAGCACTTCACACTAAGTTTCACGAGCTTGTTCTGTGATGTTGGGGGAAAGGCGAATTTCACCGGATCTCCGTGATGCAATCATTATCCAAGAAAACCAGACTGTTGAAATTACCGAGATCCTCTCTATTCCTGGCAAAATCCTTACAAGGATATTTTTGAACAGACTGGGTATCTGCTGTATCAGAAAAAGTTCCACCTAGAAGCCAACGTGGTTTCAGAGCAGATAGGAGTACCACAGATATGGTATTCTCCGACAACTGCGAAAGAAATGCAGTGAACAAAACAAAGATCTTTGTATAACCTTCGTAGACCCACACAAAGCCACTGACATTGTGAGCAGAGAGGTCCTATGACAGATCCTGGAACGATTAGAATGTCCCCCCAAGTTCTTGAAAATGATTATGCTATTATATGAGAATCAGCGAGGCCAAGTCAGACATGGCGATGTGTTCTCAAAGCCTTTCCCAATAATCAATGGTGTTCTTGCACAACTAACACCTACTTCAGCATAATGGTCCAAAGGGTCACGACAGATTTACACATTTAGATAAGGAAAATGGCATTTACATTCGATATCGTACCAATGGATCTATTCAACCTAAAGCGACTGAAGGCCATACCAAGACCCTAAATTACCATGTCCGAGTCTATTTTTTGCTGATGATGCCACCCTCCTTGCTCACACAGAAGTAACCCTGTAGTGCTTAACATCTTGTTTTGCAGAGGCCCGTAGAGCTTCTTGGGCTAGAAGTAAGCTTGAAGAGAACAGTTTTTTACCAGCCTGCACCACAGGACAATCACTTTTATTCTCGCATCACCACAGGACTTTCATCCTCTCATCACCAATCAGAGCTTAAATCAGTACAGCAGTTCAGCTATTTAGGCAGCATCATTTCTTCCGACGTTAAGATCGACAAAGAGATTGAGAGCAGACTGGCAAAGCCATACAGAGTTTTCGGAAAACTTCATAAAAAAGTCTGCTGCAATATGCATCTGAAGAGAAATACCAAGATTAGTGTGTGCAAAACTATTGTACTGTGTATTCTATTATATGATTCTGAATCATAGGTCAGCTACCACCACCATCTGCGACTCCTCGAATGCTTTTACTAGCGCTGCCTCCGTGCAATCCCTAAACCACTAGTTTGACTACGTATCTAGTGCTACTGTCCGCATACAGAAAAGAGTCACCAATAATGAGGCCATACTCCTGAAGACACAGCAGCGCTGGGCTGGACGCGTCTCCATGATGGAGGATCACCATCTTCGTAAAATTGTGCTCCATGGCGAATTGGCCACCGGCTTCCGCAAAAGAAGAGCCCCAAATAGGAGATACAAGGCGTCTTGAAACAATATCTCAGCCTCCGATCCTCGTCGGTGGCCGCACCATCAATAGACTACTATCAGTGGACCGCTCTGACATCGAATCGGGGAGAATGGAGACATGTCATAACGGGAAGTATGGAGACACATCATGGCGTTATTGGTACCTTCGAGAACACGCGCAGAACCAGCCTCGAGGACGAACGATAACGCAGAAAAAAAACGTATCTCACCAATACTGCTTAACTGTGCCTTTTGCTACTCAAACATGTCTATTCCGCACTAGCCTTCTTAGTTACCAGCGCACTTGCAGCAAATATGGGTACATCTTTCACGACGACGACGACGACGACGACGACGACGACGACGACGACGACGACGACGACGACGACGACGACGACGACGACGACGACGACGACGACGACGACGACGACGACGACGACGACGACGACGACGACGACGACGACGACGACGACGACGACGACGACGACGACGACGACGACGACGAC